CACCATTCCTGAGTGATAAAACTCAGTTACCCTTTTGCTACCAGACGATCCCCAAGGAAGGTGCCCAGAACCTGGGAATTGTTAAACTGCTGCTGTATTTTCGGTGGACGTTCATTGGTCTCCTTGCTGCAGATACTGATAATGGAGAACGTTTCATTAGGACCTTCAACCCTGTGCTGGCTCAGAATGGCATCTGTGCTGCATTTTCACAAATTACATTACTAGATATCGAGAATTTCCGTGATCTGATTTCTATTTTCAAAATGTGGCACCAAATCAACGTCTTTGTTTACTATGCAGAGTTCACATTTATAGAAGGAGAAGTGTTTGTGGAAATCATATTGAACTTTGTGAAAAAACCTGTTTTAGGAAAAGTTTGGATCACAACTGCTTTGTGGGATCTCTCCGTTGAATTATCATATAACACTTTCTCTTTAAAATACACCCATAGTATTTTTTCTTTTCTTATCCAGACCAACCAAGGGACCAAATTTGAAAATTTCAGAGATTTCTATTTTTTAATTAAAGCATTTATTATTAAAATATTTCACTGTGCATATGGGAAGCCTGCCTTGTCTGTGAAAGGTTGGACAAGGTGTATAGAGGAAAAGAAAATGGGGACTCTACCTCAAGAGAAGATTGAAAAGATCTTTTCTCTAGACAGTTCCTTAACTTCCAATGCCATCCAAATTGTGGCACATGCCTTAAATGTGGCTTGTTCATCCCAGTCCCAAAAAACAATGAGGAAGAGAAAAGCCAAGCTGGAAGTTGAAAAGATCCAACCATGGCAGGTATTCCCATGGAATAAAAATACCTATTCCTTTTTTTTTATTTTTAAAAAATATTTTATTGAAATTCAAAATATTAAAAAGTTTACAAAAAACCAGAATATTAAAAAAATACAAAAATTTCTATAATAGATGTGTCAATATCTTTCAGCATCATTTTTGACAGTACAATAAATGCTATACATGCAATTAATACTTGACAGTTATTCACAGTATTGGTAGTACTAATTCACAGTGCTTAATAATATTGGTAAAAAGTGATTCATGTATATAGGTCATTGGTTCAGAAGTATATATATATAAATGGAGATCTATGTAAATATTCATATTTAATTTATAATATACTGTATATGTAGTTATATTGTATACTGAAAAATGTATGACACATCTTCTCTTACGGCTATGGAATAGAGAGCACAGTACTTAGATGATAATTATGTAGATTTATCTCTGATTTTTCTCTTTTTAGAAATACCTATTCCTACAGGTTTTGTGTTGATTGCTAAGTGTGACATATAGATGGTGAACATCACAATATTCTCTCCGAGAAATGTGAAATATATTGAGAAAAATTGCTTTATGAATAATATTTTTTTCATGAAATCTATTGTCTTCATTCTTCTTTTATCATTTGAACTCCCAGTGTTGAACAACAAATTATTCCTTGATGGTATTGTCACATACACCCTTACATTTCCATCCAAAAATGCTTTGAGCTTTTCTTTCCTCAGAATCTGGAATTTCCAAAAAATTTAAGAAAAGGGATTTGGATTCTCTCCCAATATATAGCAATCCAATACAACATTGAATTTAATTGTATGATTGTCAGTGTACATTCTTGTAGGGGCACCCAAAGAATGCCAAAATCAATATTTTAATCACTCCTTACTTGATATTTCAAGCTTTCTTTCAGATAATAAGTACATAGAACAGTTGATTACAACCATGACATTTGCTTCCCAAATTCCCAAAGCCAAATATTTCCAGGAGTGAAATATCCAAATGGATACTGTGTCTCTTACATCTTCTCTCTTGTGGAAACAAAATACAGGATTCAAAATAAATAATCAAGATTCACTGCAGGGTTTGTTCTTTGATAAGCACAACAGGTGCTCTCTAATATTGAGCCACACCCCTACAGACAAAAGAATGCGACTCTATTGATACTTCTCAGGGAAAATGGGGAAACTAATGCACAAGCAGGGGTGGGATTCAAAAATTTTAACAACCAGTTCTGTGGGTGTGGCTTAGGTGGTGGGCGTGGCTTGGTGGTCATGTGACTGGGTGGACATGGCTTGGTGGTCATGTTATTGGCTGGGTGTGGCCAACTCAATATTACTCACATCGAGGCACGCATCTCCTCGCCTGGCCTCTCATGACTGTGGGGATGCTGCAACAGTCGTAAGTGTGAAAAATGGTCATAAGTCACTCTTTTCAGTGGCATTGTAACTTTAAACGGTCACTCCACACAAGCAAAGTACCAGCAAAGGAGGGGAAAAAAACTCCAAAGAAGTTCCAGAGACAGGAAGTCTAGTCCTGCCAAGAATGTAATAAGGGTTAACGGAGAGGCAGTTTCTGTAAGGAACACCAGAATGTTTCCTTCCTGCCTTCCTTACAGGATTAGGTCAGTAATTTCTTCTAACAACTGGTTCTCCAAACTGCTTAGAATGTTAACAACCAGTTCTAGCGAATAGGTGCGAACTGGTAGAATCCCATCCCTGTGCATAAGCATCAGGGGATGTAAGCAAGCATATTCATAGACAATATTTTGCAAGTGACCTTCTTCTGTCTATTTACCTTCAAGAGGACCAAAGGGAGAAATAAACAGCAAAACAAGAGTAGAAGAAAGTTGGAATGCCAGATGCTGGGAAGAATATTTTCCCTATTGTCACCTTAAGGACAAATCTCTGGAAATTGTCCTGATAAGAAAACAGGCTGCAGTTCAAAAAGTCAAATTCCCTATATCTCTGCATATCAACTTGGTGTAGCAGATTCCATCCATCTAAAACCTTCCTTTCTTCACACTCTGTAGCTCCACCACTTCCTGAAGAATCCCCAGATCTACAACAACACCATGCAAGGAATGTATTTGGATGGGAATGGAGATTTGATGGCTGACTTTGACCTTGTGAGTTGGGTGGGTTTTCATAATAAGTCAGGCACCAGCATGAAATTTGGGAGTCTGGCAAGAGAAGGATCTGCAGGAGTGAAATTCAGCATCAACAAGGACACCATCATGAAGCACCATGGGGAGAACCAGGTGGGCAAATCTGCTGTTTCTTCAGTTTTATCATTATCTCCATGAGTGTCCCCTCCTTTCCCAAATTATATATCAGACTGACTGCCTTCAGATACAAGTTTCAGAGACGTGCTCTTTTAATTCAGCAATAGCAATAGAGAAGGAGTTTTGTGAAGTATAGAAGGGTTCTGTTCAGTGGTCGGATTCTACCAGTTTCCCTACCGGTTCATTGATCATGCACTTCACCTAATGTGCGCGTGCAGCTTTTCAAACACCAGCTGAGGCTCTTCCATGCCAATCAGCTGAGAGGATAAAGAAGAGAAAAGCACAGGGACAGGTAGGAGGGCCGCTCCTGTGCTTTTCTCTTCTTTATCCTCTCAGCTGATCGTCGGAGCTTTTCTTAGTAGCGGTTTGGCTGAACTGAGCTGAACTGGTAGCATTTCACCACTGGTTCTGTTCCAAGAACATTGAAGGAAGTGACATGGGGATGTAGGAAAATGCAGGGAGGATTTAAGAGGAGAGAGAAGCAGAATCACTTGAGTTGCCCATGCTCATTTTGACATTCAGGACAAGAGGTTGATGCTACAGCTGGATATTTGGTGGGAAATGTGTGGAAAATCTATCATGCTGCAGAATTCCCGAATTCCCATTTCTTCCATGATTATCACAATCCACTGCTAGTTTCAAGAATAACTTTCCTGACAATTGTTGGACATCCCTGGAATGGCCGCCACCACAGTTTGGCCTAGAGGAGAAACAGAATGTTCCGTTTAGCACATACTGTCAGGTTTCCAAGTGATGAAATCCATTTAAAAAGAAAAGAACAAAGTCCATCTTTGAAAACAAATTCTTTTATTTAGGAAAGCATCAAATTGGCAAAGTCCATGGTAATTCCGGATCTGACACAACCTGGAATTACTCCACAATATTACAAGGTAGAAACAACCCCCCAAAGTCACATTCTCCCAGTAGAAGTAATTCAACGTTGCTTGATGTCATAAATCTCCACCTCAAGAGGCCCAAGCACAGACAGCTCATTTCCCATGGAAAGAAAGATCGCCTAGCCTAAACAACTCCCTTTATCTCCACTCCTCCTCCCTTATGAAAGTGGCAAGCCCGAAACCCTTTCCCCCATGACTGCCACAAAGAAAGTAAGAAAAAGAATATATACTAAGCCTAACTAAAATGGCTACAATTTTGGGCTTGACAGATACCTAGTTTGTTGACTCCTTCCAACTCTATGTCTCATTTCATAGTTGATGATTGCAGATGCTACTGAATGCCAATTCTGTTCATTTTCAGACATTGCCTTACTCCCAGTGTGTGGAAGCTTGTCAGCATGGATATTTCAAGGTGGTCCAGGAGGGGAAACCAAATTGCTGCTACAACTGTGCCCCCTGTGCAGAAGGGAGGATTTCTACCCAAGAAGGTAGTCCTTTTGATGAAGATGTTTTGAATCTGGGTATTTGGGGCAAAAAGATACAGTATTTATTTAATTACAATGACTGTTTTCACCAAGGGTGTATAACAATAATATGCCACAATCCTTAGGAATGAAATTTTGAGATGTAGAGGAAACCAAGCAGCTAAGGAGATACTTCTAATAGCTTTGTTTATTAATTTTATTAATTACTTACTTAATTAATTGATTAATTTTATTGGGTTTGTCAATTGCTTACAAGGTAATAGGTATAAGTAAAAACATAGTTATGAATACATGGATACATATAAGAAAAATAAAAAAAATAAAAGAAACAATAGGACAGGGACGGTAGGCACATTGGTGCACTTATGCATGTCCCCTACAGGCCTCTTAAGAAAGGGGTGAGGTCAATAGTAGACATCCTAAGGTTAAAGGTTAAGCATCAGTGGAAATGGCAGGAAGTAGTCTGTTGCTTCATCCGGACAAAGGCTGTGATGTGGCTTCTATAGTATGAAGATCTTCATCAAGGAGAATGAAAACCAACTCACATAAACTCTAGTCTGTCATCTTGGGATATTTTCAGGATAGCTTCATTTCTGCCTAACCAACTTCCTCCAGGATATCCAGGAAGTAGGCAAACAGGGTCTGTATTTCCTGTGGAATAGTTATCTGGGTGAATACATTGCTACTGGTGAGGAACCGTTCCATGTTGTAATTATGACAGGGAAACATCAAATCAAATATCTTTATCATGCCTTTTTAAATCAATAACCATTCGATTTTGGTGGACAAATGGAACAGAAATATTCCAACCCTGTCAGATTGGCCACTTCTAGTCCATTAGATTCCTTACTGCATGACAAAGATGGCTGCCTTTTGCCCCTTTTGTTTCCTATAGTCAGGGGTGGGATTCAACTGGTTGTTACTACCAGTTTGGTGACTATGTTTTGCATGCACATGCGTGTGTAAAACAACTTTAGACTGTGCCGTCCAGACAGCTGAAAAGCGCTGCGTGCAGGTGCACAGCATTTGAAAAACTTCTTTTCCCCTGCTTTTTCAACCTCAACTGTGCCGTGCAAAAAGCAGGTAAGAGCCCAGGCGGGTGGGTGAGCCAAACAGCAGCAAACACACAAACAGTGCAGTGTCTGCTGCTCTTCAGAGCTACCGGTTCTTTAGAACCGGGCAGAACCAGTAGCATCCCACCCCTGCCTATAGTCCCAGAAATGTGGGGGGGGGGATAAGAGAAAATTGGAGGTATTTTTTAAGTTAACTATGCCTCCCCTCAAATTCTTTCCCTTCTTAATCTAGCTACATTTTCTCACTTTATCAACTTTGGACACTTAGTAATACAAGCACATTCACACACATATTCATTAATCTAACTCCTATCCTATAAATTGACAGTAGATGTTACCTTTGTCCTTTGCAGATGCAAACTACTGCATCAGATGTCCAGAAAATCAATATCAGAATAAGAAGCGAGATCAATGTATTGCCAAAAATGTCACGTTTTTGTCCCATCAAGAGAATTTGGGGATCATCCTTACTACCTTTGCCCTATTCCTAATCTTAACTACAATCTTTGTCTTGGGAATCTTCATTAAATTCCAAGAAACTCCCATAGTAAAAGCCAACAACCGGGACCTCTCCTACATTCTACTGGTCTCCCTTCTGATTTGCTTCTTGACCTCATTCCTCTTCATTGGTCAGCCAAGGAGAACCACCTGCCTTCTCCGACAAACAGTCTTCAACATCATCTTCTCAATTGCTGTGTCTTCTGTCTTGGCCAAAACAATCATGGTGGTGCTAGCTTTCCTAGCCACAAAGCCAGGAAATGGTATGAGGAAATATCTGGGCAAGAGTCTGGCCAACACCATCATCATTTCTTGTTCTATTGTTCAGGTTGTCATTTGTTTCACCTGGTTAGGAGTTTTTCCTTCATTCCCTGATTCTGACATGTATTCGCAGCCTAGAGAGATTGTTCTACAGTGCAATGAAGGCTCTGCTGCTATGTTTTATATTGCCCTTGGCTACATGGGCTTTCTGGCTGCCGTTTGCTTCACAGTGGCTTTCCTGGCCAGGAATTTGCCTGGGTCCTTCAACGAAGCCAAGCTGATCACCTTCAGCATGCTGGTCTTCTGCAGTGTCTGGCTGTCCTTTCTGCCTACCTATCTGAGCACCAAAGGGAAATACATGGTGGCTGTGCAGGTCTTCTCCATCTTGGCTTCCAGTGCTGGGCTGCTGGGTTGCATCTTCATCCCTAAGTGTTACATCATTGTGCTGAGGCCAGACTTGAATACAAAGCAGCAATTGATGTTGAAAAATGAAGTAGAAAACTGATTCTCGTGGATATTCTGGGGAATATTATATCTGAGGACCTAACATTTTAATTCACCATTAGGTACTTTTCATGGGAAAACCCAATTTCTCTGACTGCTTTTTAAAGTGATCTCCTGCTTAAGTCCAATTTCCATCTTTTTATCTTTTTTATTTATTTTTATGTCTGGCAGTATTACTTGGCATTTTGGGTTTTCGTTTCAGCTTTTAATTTACGATATATTAGCATTTTAGTATGGGAATGTAGACCTTTGTTGTAACTTTCGGAAAACACATTTTTCTTCTGAATCAAGAACATTTTTTAAAATTTGTGTGAACTAACGTTTTCAGTCAGTAAACTATAGAGCAGAGGTGTCAAACTCATGGCCTGTGGCCTGGATGCGTCATATGCTAGCCCCACCCCTGCCCAATTCAGCAAAGGGGGGGAGTCCTGATATGTCACATGATGATGCCATGACAACACGAGTTTGACACCCTTGCTATAGAGAGAATATTCTGAAAGTTCTTGAATACAGTTGCAAGTAGGTAAGATACCTACCTAAGGGGCATGATCTAACTCATAAATTTGCCATTTGAGGAATTTCATCTGTAATCCATGTTTTCTATTGTTCAATTCTTACATGTAGTCATCTTTTATTTTTGATTAGTTGCTTTCTGATGTGTCACCCAGACTAAATGTATGTATTTCTTTTTGTATACTATCAAAAGACTTTACACCTCCATCACCTTAATAAATGTGTTTTTTAACTTTTTCTGTGATTTGTATTGTTGGTTGAGGGTAAAAATTGTCATGCCCTTGTTGGAATCTGATTCTGAGGGGGAGATTGAGCAACTGACAGGGAGTGGGAGTGTGGCTCCAGTAGCTGTGGAAGAAATGGAAAGGCACAGTCCTGCTGGGCATTCAGAGGAAGATCCAGGGCCATCCTAGGGCACGCAGGGAGGAATGGAGAAGGGAGCAATGTGTCTTATGGGAGAGGAAAAGGCCCTGATCCCTTTCATTAGTTGCAGCTGGGAGAACAGGAGATAAGTGGGGTGTTTGCACATGGCTCCTTGCTGGAAGTAAAGCGTGCATTATCTTGGTCGAGGCTTATATGGGTTTTGGTGTCCTCCTAACTGTGGATGCTGCATTATCCTTTGAACGTCTGCAATTTATCATCCTGGCCTGCCGTGCTAATTACTTCAGTGTGGTTTGTGTTGGGTTTTTTATTTCTAATTATCTTTACTTTGGGTTTGGACTGCATTTCTGCCCTTCGTAGACTTTTTTTTTTTTTTTTTGAAGAGTTTATTATCTAGCCGAGGATAATTAGACATTGGAGCCAAGTTGGAGGCATTAAAGGGAATTTATTCTCCTTTTGTGACTGTGTTATTTTTGTGTCACGCCCAGGGTCATCACAAAAAAATGACTTTTGCAAAGGCTAATACTCTTTTTCTCTCTCAAATTCATTGTAGTAGATTTCATCAGCTCCATGCCAAATTCAAGGTGCCTGAATTTCAGCAAACAATAGGAGAAGAAGGGCTGCAATGTAAAAGATGCATTTTTATAAAATTCAAGGGTCATTGATTCACCAATAAACATTTTCTTGTTTAAAACTTTGAATACACAAATGTGTATGTTCGTGTGTGCTTGTTTGTTTGTTTGTTTGTTTGTGTATATATATAAAATTTACTTTCTTCTAGCAGTCTAGTTTTATTTGTGAGACTGGTGAGACACTTTAGTGGTGAGATACTTTAGTGGTGGGATTGGTGAGAGATATGGAGAGACTGGATGAAAATTGTCCAGGATGGTAGGTCAAGTAATGGATTCTTGATGAGTGCCCCTTTAAAACAGGATGGGGACATCCCCTTCAGCAAGGATAAAGTTATCAACACTTGGACACACCACTTGCCACCTTCTGGGTGGCCTTTAGCAACCAGGATGGACATGGATCTCACTCACAAATGGTGGCATCTATATTCCAGAGTACCATTCATTTGCAATGAACACACTGCAAAGTCTCTATATTGTCCTGTTATAGGGTGTCATGTAAATACTACCCAAGAATGAAGAAAACCAACAGTCCAGTCTTACTTCACACTCCTCATAATAGAGGAGCATTGATTGATTAATTAATTGATTGATATGATCCCTTCTAGACCAGTGGTGGTATTCAAACATTTTTATTACCAGTTCTGTGAGCGTAGCTTGGTGGGCGTGACAGGGGAAGGATACTGTAAAATCTCCATTCCCTCTAACACCCCACTAACCTGCTTTCCAGCTCCGTTCTCCTCTGCGGGGCAACAAAAGAAGACTCAGCTGATCAACTGGGATTCTGATCAGCTGGGACTCGGGAGGCAGTGAATAGATGGAGGCAGGGCCAACCAGAGGTGGTATTTACCGGTTCTCCAAACCACTCAAAAGTTTCGCTACCGGTTCCCCAGAACCTGTCAGAACTGGTTGAATACCACCTCTATGTCAACTCATAAAATATTTATATGGTCTTTTTAGAGTTGCCAACAGAAAGGGAGGGGGGAGCAGTGCATCCATTTACAAACCAAAACTGCATTCCATAAATGTTTTCGAAGATAGTAACTAGGTGACCGAAGTTTCTGCCATGCAAAATTCTAACTGGAGAGCATGATTGGTGACTCTGGGCTATGGATGTGTCCCATTGGAGAATATGAATTATGATATACCCAGGGGTGGGGGGGAAACCAGGGTCAAGGGCAACAATGAATTTGTCAGCTATGGAATTCATCACTGCCACATAATTGGAGAAAGTGGGGGGGGGGGTGATGTTAATTGAGTAGCTCTTAGTAGACAAAATATATTATTTTGATAGTTCAAGGTTACAGAGTGTGGTGCAAAAAGAATTAGAACTTACTTTGGGATTGGTTCATGTGATGTGGTGATGAGGAAAAAGGGGTGGTTTGTAGGTTGGGACTTTGTGGAGAAGCCGGGAAGATTTAATTCTGGATTTCCACAGTATGTGCCAGGTGCTATTCTAATAAAAGTACTTTGAGATGACATGTGTCTTGGAGTTACTGATAGGAATGGATTTTCCCTGGAACACTGACAGAATTGTGTGTCTCAGAGTCAGCTACACCCAGACAGTGCCGGACATTTTAACTCCCAATAAATCCTTTTGAAGTGTTGTGAGTTTGGCTCAAGACTCATGATTTAAATGGGGGTAGCTGCTGGAATCCTGACAATCTGTTATAGACCACTCAGTTCCATAGTCCCATGGTCATTTTCATTAAAAAAAAATAGAAAGAAGTGGTGAATAAATCCTTCATAACCTTTTGTCCAAAATTTGCAAGTTACACAACTATGAAAAAGATTGGAGTATGTTTAAAAATCCTTTAAACCACCCAAGGATGCAAAAACAAAAGGTAACAGTAAAAGGAAAAAGGGACTTGAAAAGTATGTTGAAAAGGAGGTATAACTTGGATATACAGTCAGGAGGAAACCTTAAAAACAAAATGGCTGCAACAACACAGAGAGAACTAAAGATAAAGGACTCAGCAGCCACTGAGATGGTGCAATGCAAGAAGTTTTATGTGGCCTCAGCGGTGGGGAGGGGCTTTGCATTCCATCTCTCCCAGATTACGTTTTTTTTGGGGGGGGGGGTAAAAAAATTATCAAGAAAAGATAATCTGGAAATTCCTGGGCTTCAGGCTATATATCATATTAAACAGTGGTTTGTTAAACCATGTTTGTTCAATATGGCCACAATCAATCAAATTTAGATCTCCCATTTAGTCACAAGGCAAGGCTGAGTTCAAATAATGCTTTCAACTGAAATCAATTTGCCCTTCTTCAAATCATAGTGATTTACTTGTCCTCTTGCTCCAAAAAACTCCAGAGATTTTTCTGTACCCTTTTAGAAGATTTGAGAGCAAGATGTCAACAATATGTATTCATCTCAATAACAATACACTAAAAAGCTTTGTTGACTGCGCTTGTGGCATTGGAAAGACACGGTGCATAAATGGGTCTGGAGAAAGAGAGAGCTGGGGGGTGGCTCTTTTAGAGCACTCAGGAGCTACAGTTAATCCCTTCTCTTTGAGATGTGAAACATGGCTGGACTACGTTTGTGTTAAAAGTTCTGTCTCAGAAAAAGCCTTTGTTTTCTTCCACCTCTTCCTCTAGACTGTCATTCAAGGCGAGCACAGTGGAGGAAGCTCAGTCAGGAATACAAATCATGTTGCTGCTTTTGCTCCTCCTTGTGCTGCTTTTTTGGCCCCAGGTCATCTGTGGGACACTCAAAATCCAATGTCTCCCAACTCAGTATCAGGATAGGATGAACCCACCCAACCATAACAGTCCAGGAGAGATTTTTATCGGCAGCTTAATCTCTGCAACCAGGGCTAAGTTTCCACCATTAAGCTTCAACACGACTCCTTCAATTCAGCCATTCCAGTGAGTGAGGTTTTCAGCACTGCATTTCAGCTGCTGCCATTGGCTATATTTTGTTTGCATCTCAATTTCCTTAACATTCTGGAATCCACACTGTATAACGGACATTAATACAATTGAACGAGCCCAGAGGTATTTCATGAGAAGAGTACTCCACTCCTCTGCTTGCAATAGAATATCTTATGCTACCAGACTTGAAATTTTGGACCTAGATAACTTAGAACCATGCTGCCTATGGACTGACCTAAGCATAGTACATAAAATTGTCTGCTACAACATCCTACCTGTCAACAACTTCTTCAACTTCAACCACAATAACACACAGGCAAACAATAGATACAAACTCAACATAAACCGCTCCAAACTCAACTGCAGAAAATACGACTTCAGCAACAGAGTGGGGGCATGCATAAGCACACCAGCGTGCCTACCGCCCCTGTCCTACTGTTCCCATTTATTCATACTCATTTATTATGTATGTACTTATACCTGTTTATACTTTATACTTATCCTCTGAACAGAGCTAGATTGTGGATGAGAAAAAAGAAGGAGGTAGCTCTTTTCTGCTCCTGCAGGACTGATGTATTTTTCCTCTATATTGAAAATA